CTTATAAATATTTTGTAAATATTTTATAAATATTGTGTGCTGTTTGGGTTATATTATTATGATAAACGGCGACATCTCGATCAAAGACTAAAGTCTTTGACCTCGATATTTGAAAGTGTATAAGAATATATGATACAATCCATTTATAAGCAAAAATGAATGTTACAATAAAGCAAAAAATAATATTATTTAATCTTTTAAAAGAGAATGCAGAATTAGTTAGGGGTCGCATAGACCGAAAAGGAGAAAGTAAACGAAAATTAGTAAGTTAAACATTTTATTATATTATGTATTAATGTGCATGCTGTCAGTTTCAACCTCTGTTATTCGAATAATACTGAAAGATATAAATACTCGGATAATATCCACGAGTTGACATTCGGGTATTGAAATAACTAAATAATAATTTAAACATAAATAATTTAAATATTCACTAAATAATTTAAACATTATAAAACTGAAATATTTCGATCAATTTACTGAGCAATTTCTTTTCAAATTTAATTTTGCAAATATACTGTTAAGATAATTTGTTATATTGTTATATATTGTTTTGACAAAATACTATATTTAAATTGTATAAGCATGAGTTATCAATATTTTATAAAAGATCAAAATTTCTAAATCTATTTTTGTAAATATACCTGTCTAATTGATCACAAATCTTATACAAAATTTTGTCTTATAATTTTACTAATGTTTTCCTATCAGAATGTCATAAAGATAAAATTTAATTTAACAAATAACATATGAACATTTTCAGAAGGATATGTGGAATGTGATAGCCGAAAATATTAATAAAGCTAACGAAGGTCCTGAAAAAAATGGACAAGAATGGGCAAAGGTTAAATACATACATTTCTATTATATATTTAGTTTTTTAATATACAAGATGAATTAGAGTTAAAAAAAAGAATAATTATTGATTATCTGTAAATTTGCAGACATGGGAAGATATTAAGGCATATATTTTTAAAAAAGAAGCAAAAAGACGGAGTTATGCACAAGGAACAGGTGGTGGACCGCCTTCGAAAGTATCTTTTTCTAGTTTTGATGAAGATGTATTACAGTTGTTGACGCCAGAAGCAGCCGGATTGGAAAACATCCCAGAAGGAGGATTAATTAATATTGTAGAAGAAGTACAACCTTTACAAGAATGTGATTATCAAAATACAATGCAAGAACAAGACATACAATGCTCAGTAATAGAAACAGATGAGATAGAAAATGTATCAACGAATGTTAATATAAGGCAGCATAGTAGAAAAAATGAAACAGTAACACAGGAAAAGAATACAAGAAAAGGTAATTTTGAATGGAAAGCCTATTATGTAATTATAATTTTTAATTAAAATTTTTTAACAGCAGGCAAGTCTGTGCATCAATTATCGTACAATATGCTAGAAATTCAAGAAGCTAAATTAAAACTAAAGAGAAAAGAATTAAAAATTAGAAAGAAACAACTAAAGGTGCAAACAAATATCCTAACAGAATTAAAAGAAATAAAATTAAGTTTACAGACACAGAACGGATTTGCGGCCGAAACGTTCGAAATTTGTGAACATTGAATTACTTAAATACATTTATGTAAGAATTTACTATTATTAATTCTTTACTGTTGTTATTGCGCACCGATTACCGCGCCTGACCCTCATTTGCCTTATTTGACATAGACTATTGAAAACTCGAGAGTCATAAGAATTAGAAAAGTGATTCATAATATAAAAAATATTAACACAATTTAATTTATAACTTTAAACTTATGACTTTAATGACGTTATAGTTACAGGTTTTGTGCAATACAAATAATGCAGAAAAGTTTATTTTGTTTTGTTTATAATATTTATTTGTAATGTAAAGAAAAATTTCTTTTTGTCTTAAGTAAAAAATTAATATCTAAACTAAGTTATGCAAAATATCTTTCAATTATTGCTTCACGTGTCGCATGTCCTCTTGCACGCATATTTGCATTTTCTGCCTCAATTCCTTCTTCATGAAAATCTTCCTCTTCTAAATATATTTCTTCAAGAACATTATATTGCTTAGCAATATTATGTAATACACTGCATTTACTGTAAGTGCTAAAACATACAATAACAAAACAAAATTCTATAATAATTTTGAGTATACTTCTTTATAAACTGTTATTGTTAATTACATCTTACCAGCAAATTCTGGTGTATAATATAATGCCCTCTCTTTGCGTAAGCATCTCCACCGTCCTTTCCATATGCCTATTGTTCTTTCTACTGTACATCGTGCTGTAGCATGCCTATCTGTGTAAGAAGCACTTGGAGATCTTGCTGGCTGATTCAGTTTAGGTGTCATTAGATATGGTAATAAGGGATACCCAGAATCTCCTAAAAACACAGTTAATTACAACATTTTTTAGTAACAAGAATAGTTTCACAAATTATATATCTGTGTGTGCGTGTGTACAAATTCTAATTTGACTTACATAAAGAATTTTTTGAATAATATATTTTAATCGAATTTTATTACCTAATAACCAGACATTTCGTCTTCCGTTTTGATATTTATTTAACATATGTCTCGATAATTGAGACGAGTTCCATACCCTTGCATCGTGCGTACGGCCACCATGGTTTGCAACTATAGCTAAAATTTTGCAATGATAATCAGAAACCTAAAATAAGTAATAAGACAAAGAAATACATAAAAAAATATGTGCGTTGTAAGAATACGATGAAAAAATAATAAATTCCCTTTTATCTTGTGTGTGTGTGTGTACAATGTATGTATAAATACATATATATATACATATTATTTAATAATTTTTACTCACAATCATAACATTTAAAGAGTGGTACAATTTCCTATTTATATATAAGTGTTCCCTGTTTTTTTCAGGTGGCCAAATGGCTACATG